AAACAAATTTGGGGTATTATGGCACAACCAGTGCATATTATGATAGTACTAAGTCTATAAAAGAACCAAAGAACCAAAAAAGGATATTAAAGCACCTCTTTCAGTCTTTAGCTTACTAGGGGTTCAGTTAAGACTATTTAAAAACCAATAATATGGTATGTGTACTATTTTTGTATTGTGCTGACCTAATTGACTGGGTTGTGCTGGCACAATTACTGCAACACAACCAGTAATTACCTTTCTTTGTATATGGAGAAATATTAATGCATGCACACTTTAACAAATGTACAGGGTGTCAAATAAGTCCCGCCCCCCCCCCCTCTACAGCCAAGACCAAGTTGTATGGTACCAAGTGTGATATATCATTGGAAAGGTCTTCCAAAGTTACGTTTGGCATATATCTGACACATGTCAATCAATCTCACAAATTTTTACATTATATCAATTGAGGTGACCATAGGCCTAGAAACATGGCAATTTTGCATATTTGGCAGGATTTTAAGAATCTGGTATAAGAAAAGTCAAATGACCTAAAGATGACTACGTATGTATATGGCAATGAATTCAACCAATTTCTGGATAGGGTTAGATGTGTAGAAAATAGAGGTGCATGGAAAAATGGTGAAAACCTTTTTGTTTCAAGTTGAATGAGAAAAAGATTAAGTTTTTGACGTATTTCTGAGGTCATATCCTTCTCATTTTGACGCAATGAAAGCTGCTACAGGAGGGTACAGTAACTAAAAAGGACATCATGAAAATATAGGTGAATTTCATCCAAAATACTTGACAGTTGGTGAGTTAACATAACTTTGGATGATCTTTCCAATGGTATATCACACTAGGTACCATCTATAAGGTTTTAGCTGTAGCAGGGGGGACGGGACTTATTTGACACCCTGTATATATTATTTCTCATCTTCCTGACCAATTGATACGAAGATACAGGATATGAAGAAAAATACTTACTGCTGGTTGTGTAATGATGATTCTTCAAAAAAACATTCATACAATATCACAGTGACATCAGATTAATCAGTTCTTGCATTACTTACAACACTTTTGAAAAGCTTGATTAGATGGTAATTTCAGTTACTACTATCCTTGCACTTACAAAACATGCAACAATTAATTTTGTTTAGTTTACTTAATCTGTATTGTACCACACTAAATTAGATGGAAGTAGAAATAATCCTGATTTGCCCATTTAAAATTCAGTCAAAGTGATATCATATTTGAAATCTACATGTAAAATTACATCTAGTAATGTGTTTTTGCAACTTTGAAAATTTAATTTTCTTAGACAATGCGATTTCCAGGTCGAAGAGATTCCCCATAGACCCCATGTTAATAAAATCACAAGAAGTGAAATATCTTTGCTTGTATTGGACAGATAATATTTTCTTTTACTGGGCATATTTTCTAATTTGTACAGTGTATAACTATCAGATTCATAAGGGTAATATGAAAATTGAAACACTAAAGCAGATGAATATTCAAGTTTAGGGGAACTTTCTAATACCCTGCCATGTTATCGGCCCGAATTAGCCTCCTGGCGGTGAAACTGGTAACTGCCTATTTCGCATCTGGTTTATTAAATTGTAAAATCAGATCATTAGGTGATGTACAGAATATCCTTTGTGGCAAGATCATTTTCAAGAACGGAACCATATTCCAATGGGTCAAGCTGAGTATTTGATAAAATATGTATTTGCATATGAGTTGCAATTTAGACAAGACTGAACTAGCATGGGCCATTAGTTCACACCGGAATACCCTGACAACCGTAAAGTCAGATACCGTTGTCAAAAATGGCGGATATAACTGTCGCTTCAACTCTTAAATCACTTGGTCCTCGTTTCTCATGGGATTTTATCATCACTAATTCTGTGCATGTATTAAGCTCATGTGATGATGTATTATACATGTATGATATCCAAATTTCTATCAAATGGGGTCGTGAATCGCCACAATATAGCGTCTTCGCTATTGTCAATGACAACAGAATCTGAATTTGAGATAATTATTATTTATTTAGGAGCAAAGGTTAACTATTAAGTCTCCCACATACTCAATCGACAAATTCAAGGATATTTTCAAGCCTAAATCTTGAACGAAACATAAGTTACAGTGAGTTATAGAAGCTATAGTGTATGTATCCCCTATATAAGGGGTATTTTAAGAGGTAAATCAATGATTTCTGCTTAAATTTTTTATTATTATCTGTTTTATATGAACTACAGTCATCTTTATTGGTCTAAAATGAAGGAAAAGTATTAATACTATGCATGGGTATGAGGTGTGGAAAGTAAATTAAAACGTATAGATGATGGTTTATCTGAAAATAATACGAAACCAAATTATATGGAAATACATTTTATTTTTTTTCTCAAAAAGTGATAAAGCTATGAACATAGGATTACTGCAGTTTCTCAACAGCATAATTGTACAAATTCAGGAATATTTTTAAGCCCAAATCATGAATAACACAAAAGTTACGGAAGTTAACTTAAGTACCCCCTTTAAAATAGGGGTCGTTTTAAGGGGTCAATCAACTATTTCTCCATAAATTATGATTTTCACACATTGAAAAAAAATTTTATGCATAATTTAATGTACCATTGATCAATTTAAGCTACTTGAGATGTCTTAATGTTTCAGTTATAAAAATAATAAATAGTTTTAAATTTGGGGGCAAATTGTAGGGGGCGCCACCTATAGGACCAATTTTCACATTCGTTGCCGGGGCTAGAACCGAGAACCCAAGCTCAAAATAAGCCCAAGACCTTACTCTACATGAAACTAGTGAGAAACTTAGGGGACAAACTTATTTTTTAAAATTTGCTCAGCTGCTGACCTATAAACCTATTCTGAATGACTGAGATATTAGTTGTGTGGGTTATTTTCTGAATTATTGCTGCCAGTTCTTATAGGATTACTATTAGGGCTTCCAGTTTACAAATATACTGGCTGGATATGTTTTATAGAATAATACCATGTGAATATAAGACCATATCGACCGCCTGTGTTTGAAAAAGAAATTGGAAAAATGCAAATCTGCAAAAATTCACAAAGACAATATTTACTTAGAAGATTGTGCAATAAAAATTAATGCAGGAAAGAATCACTTTGTTGCAATACTGTCATGCCATCTATTTGCATTTGAGAGCTACAAATGATGTAAAGAGAATATTGATTTCAAACTTTTTCATAACACTGCTATGCCATCTATACTTTACACTGTGACGAATATTATATAGTTTGACTGCCTTGAAAACCTACCATGCCAAAAAATAAAAATAATCACCTTTAGATCTCCTGAAATTCAATTTTAGATCTCCTGAAAATCAATTCTAGATCTCCTAAAAATCAATTCTTGATCTTCTGAAAATTTCAAATCAGTCCCCCAAGTGGTTTATCTACAAATACAGAGATGGGAGAATGAAGACACTGCCACTTATTACCAGCCACTGCAACCTGAATTAAGCCAACAATATTATATAGATATATCTTTTTCTGAAGCCTCCTGAAAGCCCATGGTTTTAATGCATGTTCAATTTTAACACCCTTCTATTCCATTTCATCAACTCACATTAACTAGGACTACTACGTAAAGGAATGCTTTCTGAATTCTTCTACATAACCGCTATGCCACCTTTATATATTTCAGAGTAACAATTTTAAATTGTAAAACAAAATGTTGTATTAACACACATAACTCTTATGAATATAGATGTCTACTGCAGTATTAGAAGATTTAAAGGTTAGATTTATCATAAATAAGATTTGGGGTGAGGTAAATCAAAATTCCCATTGCTTGATGAAACCTTATAAATCATAAAGAAAGACCCTTTAACCTCAATCCCCATAATGAGACCTAATATATACAAAATGCAAAGCCTTTAACCTCAATTCCCATGATGAAACTATAAACTATAAACCTCAATCCCCATAATGAGACCTAATATACACAAAATGCAAAGCCTTTAACCTTAATTCCCATGATGAAACTATAAACTATAAAGAAAGACCCTTTAACCTCAATTCCATGATGAAACCTAATATGCACAAAATGCAAAGCCTTTAACCTCAATTCCCATGATGAAACTATAAACTATAAAGAAGGACCCTTTAACCTCAATCCCATGATGAAACTTAATATGCACTAAATGCAAAGCCTTTAACCTCAATTCCCATGATGAAACTATAAACTATAAAGAAAGACCCTTTAACCTCAATCCCATGATGAAACCTAATATGCACAAAATGCAAAGCCTTTAACCTCAATTCCCATGATGAAACTATAAAGAAGGACCCTTTAACCTCAATCCCATGATGAAACCTAATATGCACAAAATGCAAAGCCTTTAACCTCAATCCCATGATGAAACCTAATATGCACAAAATGCAAAGCCTTTAACCTTAATCCCATGATGAAACCTAATATGCACTAAATGCAGAGCCTTTAACCTCAATTCCCATGATGAAACTATAAACTATAAAAAGGACCCTTTAACCATGATCCCATGATGAAACCTAATATGCACTAAATGCAAGAACCTTTAACCTCAATCCCCATAATGAAACCTTATAAACTATAAAGAAAGACTATTTAACCTTAATCCCCATAATGAGACCTAATATACACAAAATGCAAAGCCTTTAACCTCAATTCCCATAATGAAACTATAAAGAAAGAGCCTTTAATCTCAATCCCCATTATGAGACCTAATATGCACTAATGCAAGAGCCTTTAACCTCAATCCCCATGATGAAACCTAATATGCACTAAATGCAAAGCGCAAGAGCCTTTAACCTCAATCCCCATTATGAAACCTTATATAAACTAAATACAAGAGCCTCTAACCTCCATTCTTTTGATGAAACACTATATTCAAGCATATAATATCAAACTCTATTTAATAATATAGCAAGGCAGTTAACCAATCATATTGCTGAAACCCCCCCCCCCCCAAAGAAAAAATGCGATAAAAATTACTCACCCTCTTTTAACATCCCCATTTGTAGACATTTCTGGAAGCGACATGCTTGGCATGCCTTGCGTCGACGCTTTGTGATCTCACAGTCGCCACTGGCAGGACACTGGTACTCGATGTGACCTGCAACAGATAAAATATAGAGATGAATACAAGTGTTAAATAACAGGGTGTGACAGAATGTGCCTCAATATGGGAGAAAGCTAAGGGTGTGATACAAAGCCACTCCAGAGGGCTAAAGAGAAAATCTAATTCTACACTAGTTTTTTTTAAATATTACAGACCAGCTTCAAGTTAATTTTGTACATTCTTTAAATGTGACTGGAAAACTAATTTTTAAATTGTTATGTATTTGTACATTTATATGAAAACTATATATACTGTATACTATAAGAAAGATTTGCAAACTAATACAATATAAAATCATTATATAAACATACATCATGAGCTTTCAACTAGACTTTAATTCATATATAATTATGAAAACCTACCTACTGTATACCTACCATTTTCTTTCCTCATCAAGAATATGACTAAATACTTTCAGAATATCATGTGTAACTGTATGTAGTGTTATGTGTGGATTATTGCCATGAACAAACACGTGCTTTTCATTTTTACTACAGATATAAATGAGCTGATAGAAAGCTGCGATCTGTCATATCTGCGATCTGTTTTAAGTGACTGTCCCGAGATACTTGGTTGCTATGAAAATAAATCCTGAGCCTCAACAAAGCTTTAACATAAAAATGTCACCACTTGCCACTTGTTACAGACAGCGACTGCCAGTTGTTACAGATGCTGTTACAGACACCAAACGCCATCCACAAAAAAGTTAGAGATAAAAACAATTTGTCATAACGAACATGGTTTTGCAACTTTAACTTATACAGATAAGATCTTAACAATTAATAGGTTTATGCACCAATTTTTTGTTTTTACTTATTGTTAAGTCTAATGTGGTTGTGATTATAGCGAATTTACTTCCTTTGTTTGAAAGGAATATAGAAAAAATATTGTTTTTAATTAGCGAGGTATCAATACGATACAATTTTTCTGGGCTTTGTCCACACATTTCATCATAGCTTCAAGACGTTGTCCACACTCATTGACAAGAATTTAAGCCCAGGACTCAATGCATTGTGGCTGCTTCATTCCACTCAGATGTTGTTTCCTAAACTCTGCATTCCCCCTGCAGGGTCATGCAAAGATTTGGAAACAACATCTTCGTGGAATGGTTCAGCACACAATGCATTGAGTCCAACACTTAAATCCTTAAATAATAGCTATTTTCCTGGACAGCTATGTGTGGTGAGTCCATATTTTAAAATGATCCCAGCCAATGTGAAGCTTTAGGTTTGCATATGGGATCAGTGAACAATGGGATTGTTTTGGTCTCCTATCACCTTCCGTTATCTGCATTTTTGCAGTTTTCTTTCACTGTAGAACTATGCCATCTATATTATCAAACAAAGCTTAGAGCTGTTAAAAAAATTAAGCTGTAATTCTTTGTAACATACACAAAAGATGTCACTCCTGGCACTACAGCATGAAAAAAGCAATTAAAACAACAAATCAATAATGTGGTTTAGTTGAAAGTCAATTAAATATCTATGAGGGAATGTTGCAATTTACTATCCACGTGTCTGAACTTCTAATCCAGGGCAGCAAGGATAGAGAAAGTGTTTGTGAGTGCTTCCTAAATGAATACCAATGATAAAAAGTCATTAATTAAACATGACAGTTTTAATCTAGGTAATAGCAATATAAAAGTGTTCTAGACAGGTTGAAAGTCACTTTCATATAATACTACAGTTGGCGTATAAAAAATCCCCAAACTGCATCAATTCACCAAAAGACTTTTAAACAATTGTCTGTAAAACTGTATAATTATTATTTACTTGTATTGCTCAAATGATTAGGAAAACTGCCTTTGAAGTAGAAATGCAAAATGTCAAATCTGTATTTAGTACAGTGTTAAATGCTGCTAACATAAAATGCACTCTTAAGTCAACGACTGAACTTGAAATTAGGCAGGAAACCAAATGTAAACACATAATAGTGCAACGTTAGAGTAACCAATCGCTAACAGCATATCCTTTAATAGGCAGCGGAATATCCTTTAATAGGCAGCCGCATCATGTGTTTTACTTCTGAGAGGCTTCCTTCGGTATCTGCTTTAAAGGTCATCATAGAACCTTTAAAGGAGGGAAATTCCAAGGTGACGTATGTAAGTATCGCTGCAAAAAAGTTTACGCAACCCCTGTTATAAATAGCATGGGGGAATCACACCTGTAGCTGACGTCATGAGAGAATTGCTTAGATTATTCTGCAAGTGCCTGGAAGGTTTCCAGTAGAAGCTGTCAGCACTAAATGATTTATTTTACAACCTTCACACTTTTGTTTCTAAAATAACTCTTAGAGTGAAACACCAAACATAAAAATTACACTTATTTCCATCAAAAATTGCATTTTTTCATTTATGATTTCTGAAGTAAACATATTTCTCCCATCTGTAGTTATTTATACTTGTACTAAGATATGATATTATAGTACCTTTTCTTTGTAGAAAAGATGTCACTAGTGGTCTTATATATCAGGTATAATATAAATAAATAAGAAATAAAAGAAAAAATATGCTTTCAGAAGTGCATATCAAACCAACAGATGTAGCTTGTTACCAAGGTTCCTAAGCTTAACAATAATGGTCCATTAAAAAGCTTTTTCTATTCTAGTCAGATGCAAAAAATGGACACATTGCAATTTTCTAATTTCAGATTGAGTTAGCTTTAATCTGTAACAAGGTACTGTTTATTCAAAGATACCTAAAGTAGCTATGGGAAATGGGAATACTGGATGTGTTACAATTGAGGTGTCATAGCTTGACATGTATTCTGATCAGAGGCGAGACAGCTCAATCAACCTTAATGAACTGTTAGATTTGTTCCTTGATTGCTTATATTTAACGCATAAAGCCATCATTGTAGAATCAGGATTGAATATCTTATTCAGGAAAGAAAACTACAATCAACTTGATCAATGCAATAGATGAAGCCATTTTCTGAACTTGATGACATTAATCAAATTAAAGAGAAATCCAGTTTCACTAAGTTAAAATCTCTAGAATTGCGACAGTGAAAACATAAATATTTCTATAGATTGTAGCAATGAATCAATAAGTGTAATATTCTAAGTACTTTGATTCCTCGTGGATTCTCTATATAATAGCGCTTGAGGAGATAATTTAGTGGCTTAAAATGGGCCTATTTGGACCTAAATTAAAAAACAGGCTTAATTTGTTAGAAAAGGGCCTTTTTGACTTTGTGTCTCAATTTATGAAACTAGGCACCCCGTTTCCTCCAGCTTTCTCAGTTCTTTAGTGCAACCCTCAATCAAAGTAATATGTTTTAAAAGGAATCACTCAGTATCATCTTAGAAAGAATCTAGAAACAAAATGATGGAATACCATGTAATATTTACGACATGTTTATCCTTCTTAGCTTAGCAAGGTGTCAAAAATGAGGATAATACATAAACCTAGGATATATGTTTATTTAGAATGTATTTTCTTCATGCTTAACCTAATAAATTCTATCATCTTCATTCTCAAAATTACCATTCCTTCACCTTCCTGGCTTTTTAGTGCAACCTTCAATCAATCAAAGTTTTGTAAATTGCTATGTCAGACAAGTTCTCTGTTTTAAATAATAACCCAAAAACCTTCATCTTGACCAATCTGTAAAGATACACGCTTCCTCCATGGGTATATATATTTCTTACATGGCGTTCTATGCAGTAAATTATGCAGGGTTATAGGTGAAGTGGGTATCACCATGATAACGAAGGGAACTGACAAGTATGAATAGTGCATCACAAATAGAAAATATTATGACAGTAAACTGGCATGGCCACTACTTTAGGATAGCTTCATAATTGGCTACAGATCCATATGAACAAACAAATCCTAGTAATCAAGCAAATTGGGAAATCAAAAAAATATTGGATTCTGATTCTTGAAATGATGAACAACTTCTTGGACTACTTATTTTTATTTTTCTAAATCCATCTTCAATCATACTGTAGTTTAATTCAATTTGAATTCTGTTTTCAATATTCAAGGGTTCTTATATACGAATGTATATAATTTGAATGCAAAATTAATTTTTTGGAAATAAAGAGGAAACAGGCAGAATTATCAAAATAAGACACTTCAAATCTGTTCACCAAAATGCCCATAAAATGAAGAATATGTATAGTAGTAATTCATTATTTGGGACAAGCGGAGGGAATATCAGATTCATATCAACAAGGGGGATGCACATATCACATGGCAAATAATATTTTATAAACATTCTATCCCCAAACTCAGTTAAACTAATCAGAACTTGAAAATCCAGTAACTATTTTGGTGGAACCCTGAGGTAAATCAAACTGCATTTCTACAAGTGAGATAACTCATTATAAGAACCCATACAAAAAATTGCAAGAAACTCATTATTTTTTAGGATTTCTTTTTGGAAAACAACTGAAATAAAACCTGCGAAACGCAATCGAGAAACAAGCATTCATTGTTTATGAAACTGCAAAAGAAATTGAAATATATTATGGCATATTTATCAAAAGTAAAATATGAAGTTAACGGGGTTGTCCAGTTTGTATTGAGCAAATGTTCTAATTCTCAGGTCTTTCAACAAAGTTTTTATCTTGTTAAACCCAATGGAGCAGAATTATCTTTTTTTTATCATGTTTTTTTTATCTGGGTTTGTAGTTCTGATAGTAGTATAGCCTGTGTTGGCATTTCTACTTTTGGTGAGAAATATCTTTTAAATCTGTGTCTATTCCAGCAACAAATATTTTTTCAATTGATGCCACTTTCAGTAAACAGGATTTACAATCAGTGCCACTTCAGAAACAAATTTTTCCAACAATGAAAGGTAATACTTTATATTCATTATGCAAGAGGGTCATTCTGATATTCATCACATTTTTATGTTTCTCTGAAAACATATCATAGCTGAGAAGGAATAAGATGTCATGTTTATCACGATTAGATTCCAGAGGGTGTAGTTTATTTGATCATAAGTCAAAACTTCCACCTACGCCATCACAATTCAGTTCCTTAT